CAGTGGTTCTTTACCGATAGCTGATCCTGACAGCAGTAGAAAGATGATGGCAGAACGTCAGAGTAAATTAATGTTGGAACTAATGTTGGACCCCAATGACTCTGTGAATGCCATTTGATGCGAAAGTATGCAAGTTTTTTAATTCGAACAAACGGGCTCTAGAAAATCATTTTTCTTAGTGTGTGTAAACTGGTGATTGGACAATATCAGTCAGCCTCTGAACGAGATGGTGCATTCTGACCATTCAATTTTTGAATGTAATAACTTTATAATAACGGAGTTCGTCGATCGAATCCACACCAATTACTCAGGCCGATTTATCAAAACTTGGTGTTGAACAGGTATGTAAATCAGGTCCATAATTCTATGCGATCCACTTAGTGATAAATACTTAATACACTTTCACAACAGAACCAGAAATTTGATTTTCACTCAAATGTCTATAGTTCACTTTATTTGGGATTGTTGATTTAATTTTTAGTTATTGTTTCATGAAAATATAAAAGAAAAGAGAAATGTGAAATTCAGTGGCGCGGAATTTAGCCTTCTGGTAAGGATCACAGGTGATTTCTACTGCACAAACGATTTCCCAAGCACAAATACATCACTTTCTCTCACTCTTACGAATTTTATTGGAATGCAAAGTAAAATATCGGATCAAACTCGTATGTGCATTGCTTCCTTTTGCCGATTTACCCACTGGATGTGCACCCTGTTTTTGCGTTAAATCCGGTCATGACAATAAATGTAATCATCCCATCACTTTTCTAAGGAATTAATTAGAATGGCCGAAATCAAGTCAGAAATACACAGCGCCGCTCGCGAAATCAGATATGTAAATAGAATCACACCGATATTCGGTATGAATAGGCTTTGCGGAAAGCTTGGTTTTGTTTTGGATATTGACTTAATTCCCAGTAGCTAACACCGACGACGGAATGGGGAGCAGATCTAACATGGTAGCTTGGCCGAAGCACCCGTGTGGGAGATTCTAGAAACCTGGTACACAAAGCCTTTGGGTTACGGTTTAAAATGTACTTAGTTAGTGCACCGATTGACGGTTCGCTGTTCGAAATCGGTGCTGTGTTTCGTTCACTTAATGAGACAAGCGGAATATGGATGAGACAGCACCTTCTTGGCTAGAGGCTGCCCAGCTTGTGCGGGCGGTAGCTGTCCAATGAAGAGTCGGGAGGAAGCCCCAAGAATCCCGCTAACATTTTCATCTAACGGGACCTTTTCGACTGGTAAGATGCTTCTCCCTGAAGTTATTTACTGAACTGACCTATCCAGGAAATAAAAAGGATGGTCAAAGAGGCCCAATAAGCTGGTCTTTTGAGTCTGATCTTTGTCTGGCATCTACCCATTGATCTTTTAGGCACCCATGGATCTACTGTTGTGTAACCGGTCCGTGGAATTCACAGTGGCATGGAAACATGCAATCCATCGCACCACGTTAAGGTGCAGTCTCGTCGTGATGAAGCGCGCGCTGCGCATTATTTTTTCAACGTTGGAAATGTATCGCATGGTGCGTAATTTTCATTATTCTACATTCAGGTATCTGTGTCATACCCACTGGTGGAAACGGGACTGATCGGTGCAAAGTGCGTAAACCAATCCTCTAGACAACCACGAACAAACAGATGGGTGTAAATTTAACAAGTTCAGCATTCCGCTGAGAGGAATCGAGAAGGAGAAGCACAAACGTATTCCTTTGTGTTCTAGTCATGGGCTTCCTGAAACTCGAATGGAGAAATAGCCAACTAGGTGATCACATTCTGCTTCAAATCAAGCCATCCACAAACAAGATAAATTGACACATTGTGAGTGAAGCGAAGGTTTCGCATTTGTCTTCATTAGACGATCAGTTGATAGTTGCCAGTTCTGTCTAATTTATTCACCGGATAACATTTTATACCAAAACAATCGTATACACTAGTTGGTTTCCATGTCCAGTGAATGTGCACAGAGCCACAGTAACATATTTGAAAGTACGACGTTCTTCGTCACATAAAAAGGGTTTAGCGGGATGCGTATTTGAAAGAAATTCATTATCGCATGACATTAGACGGGCTTCGAAAACCTGTTAATGATATTCCCCGAACGGATATCTTATGCTACCTTTTTACTATCCATAATTGTTTTTGTGATAATGAGGTAGGTTGCTGTATCTTTTTCGACGAGACGTTTCCAGCAACAATGGATTTGATAATTCACCAAAATGTTCTCATTTTATTTTTGATTATCTAAGATAAACAAAGGCTGTCTAGCACAAGTGAATTATTAAAAATTGAGCAAGGATGGAATTGGTCATTTTAGCTGGAGGAGCGGGGGGGGGAGGGGGGAGTAGCTTCATAGTCAGTTATATGAAACTGGTGTGAAGTTTGTTGTTCCACTACGCCATGGCCGATCTGTTTCCCTGTTGCCACCCGAAAAAGATGTGAATGTCGGATCTTACTACAATTAAAACCAAATATTTCATTATTCGCTGTGTTCCGTACCCTACAGCTAGTGAGTATTGCTTTGCAGGTTTCTTTTAATTGCATTGGTTCGTTAAATTTAAGGCGGAGATTTCCTTCAGGCGGGTTGTGTTCAAGTTAGCCATTTTTAAGTTATACCTTTTCCTAATTGGCATAGAGTCGTTGAATTCAGGCAGCGTGCATTTGCATTCAGTGCCGGTACTATTGTTTGTTCTGATGAGGAATACGCCAAGTTTTTTTTCTGTTTGAGCAAAAGCAGTTTGTGAACTTCATTACCTGTGTTTGATATTCCTGTACCGGACATGGAAAAGGGAAATCTGAGTCCTCATTAATGATATATTTTTAAGTGCAACCAATAAGAAACCAGTTTGCAGTTTTGTTTTATTCAGTACATGTGAATTTCCTCACTTCTACTTCTACGGTATAGGGCGGATATCTAGTGCTGATTCTAGATCAGACGTGGAGTGCACAAATCAAACCCACGTGCGATGTTAGAAGTTAAACATTTGTGGAACTGGATTTGACCTCGCATCAGGTGGGTCGACTTTATGGCCAGATTTCAGTGAAATATTTCGGAGAGGAATAACCTCTGATACTATTTACTGACCATTTGACTGAAAATTTTGTTTCAACCGTTCAGATCTTTGTTGTGCGTAGCAAACAAGGAAACGGTGTGTAGAGAAACCCACTAATCAGTCTGTCACCAATGATAAAAAATAGATTTCCTTTATTTCTTGATTGCCCTTCAGCACGGACAGGGTGAATGAGAGAGAAAATACAAGTCAATATCGATTACTGAAATTTTTGAAAGGAGCCAATGATGAGTCAAGCCGGAAAAAGTAACTCGTTAGAACTCACTTTCAAAAATGTTCTCCAGTGCTAACTTCGTTTAGCTACCTTATTTATTGGTTATTTGAAACCAATTATGGAGGTTGCAATGGGATTTCGAGGGGATTGGGGCGGGGCGGGGGGGGGGGGGGGNCGAATCAGATTGTTCTAGCTCGGTCATTCTTGGTAGAACTAAAGTATTCTCTGTCATATTTACCAAAAGGAACAGAAATCAGTCAAAATTATGATTCATCAAAGAAATCATGCATGTTAATAAAATGAGAACGACCAGTGCTTTATTCCACGGTAAGAAATTTTCGATTCACTAATCGAATAACTCTTTTTCCTGCAGATACGAGAATCCCGCGGCAATGAAATCGTGTATGCTTTACGTCTTAAATCACTTTTTATCCCAAATCATCTCATAAGTCATTTGCATTTTGCTCCACCGGCTTTGTGGATTCCCTGTTATCTTTCCCGATCCCTCAAGTTCTTGTCGGTATGTGGTATTATATCACGGGACGATCTGGTACAGCATGTGGTGGAACACCACCATTAGTCCCGTAAAACATTCTACAAAAAAATTTTATCTGACATTTTCCATCCTCCTTATCCTGCTCTTAGTCATTGCCCTTATAATTCATCCACCCATTCCAGTCAGAAACTTATAAAGGCGTGCACTGACACCTAATAGTACCGTATGTCGCCAGATTCCTTATAAACTATGAACCCCTTGCAGAAAATCCATTCAAAATGCTAAACTGAACCAATGATAAATATCCTTGAATGTTATTGATTTTTTCATATAGCTTTCCATTTCACTTCTATTAATTGTTCTACTATATTTCTCAGTTACTTGTTGACACACTGTAGTTATGCAGTTGCCTGGCATCCAACCCTTGAGGTGTATAAAGCGATTCCCTGACTTGAGCATGATAATTTTCCCTTCGACAATTTCGTCACCAGCCGAGGTGATATCGTCAATGGTTGTGAAGTGGTGTCTTGTGCTTCACTGAAATATTTCTGCTGTCCCAAGGAGTACAAGCAGAACACTCCCATTTCACGAGCGCTGACAATATCAACTCGGTTGGTGATGAGACGTTTCCGAGAAAATTGCCAATCTCGCCGAACAGGCGAAATGGAAAAACTATCACTTTTGCTAGTCAAGTTGTCCCAATGTCATATTAAGATGTCCTCGGATTATTTCAAGATATTCGGTAATCATTTCAAGTTGGTTGACCATTATTTCAAGATGTCCTCGGATTATTTCAAGCTGTCACATTGACCTCACCGGTGGTGACAAGCCTCCCAGCGATGTCTGGATGACCACCATGCCGCACCGACTTCTCTACCTCCCGTTCAAATGCGAGGGACGATTGTGGGACAGGCTTTGGTCATGTGCGATCAACGCTTGAGCCATTGCTTACCGCTATCGCATGATATTACAATACAGTGCAATTGCTCCATCGTTTCGTCCCTCTCATCCGTGACCTTAAAGAAGTACATTGTTTCCCACCCTTTCTGTGATCTGATCATATTCCGCGATCTGTGACACTTGGAATGTCTCACCCCAACACCAAACTGTTTGATTACCAGCTGGTACGCTTTGCAATGCTCTTGTTGTCACGTCCAGTCCATCAGTGTGCTAATGGCACTCCTGCTGCACAGTCGAAGTTCACTGGGCCTACTTAGGACTCACGTTTGTATCACCTTCGTATCAACATTATTCATTCCATATGGAATGAGATGACGCTTCTTGATTGTAATCAGTCGGCAATCCAAATAATTTTCAACTGTTGTGCGTGAAACCTCCTTCTCAAACTCCGCTTTAATTCGGATTCTTAACAACTCCAATGTGATTGTGGGATCTTCCTCCAGCCAGTTGATTATTTCGTCGATCTCCGTGTCATTTAAAGTCTTTCTCCTTCCTCCGCTTTTCGGTTGACGTTCGTAATGCAGTTCCTTGGCATTAATCCAGTTGTAAGCGGTCTTATACTTCACTCCACTGCGTTTCGCAACAACACGCCAATCCTNCCAAGCGAAGACTTTGATTACGCATGCCCCATGTAACGAAATGTGCATCGGATCGACCGCGTTCTGTTTCGTTCAGTTTTGTGGGCTGGGCCAGAAATGGGTGAGCTACACTTAAGGTGTAACTGGTTTTGGTTGCTAGGCCATTAGGGACAGCCAGTTCATTCACCCATGTTCACCTCAAGAACTCCAACCTCTGTCACTGAACCAATATTGTTATTCCAATAGACCCCTGATTCTCGTACATAGCTCGGATTGCACCGTAAGCCCAAAACCCTGGTCGTAGTTACTGTGACCAGCTTTGATTATTGAGTCAATGGCAGAGCTATAGTGGGCACGACACAGTGCGCCATCCTTCGTGCATATCGAGTGCTCTCCCACTTGGTTGTCACCGCCCCACCGATTCGACGTCCGTCACAGAACTCGACAAGATGCACGATTGAGGTCTGCCTCATTTCAGCACAGAAAGAGAGTGGGAAGANGACCAATGAGGTGCGCTGAACGGAAGCGGATCCAACCACAGCATTTCTTTCTCAAATCTAAGTGATGGTTTCTCAATTCCAAATGACGGTTTCGCAAATGAAAATTATAGTTTCTCAAAGCTATCTTAAAATGGTATAGACGAGGTGTGGTTTCTCGCTCTGTTTAGTTGAGCCAAGGCCATGTCCCTTTTTGCGGCTGAACCATCAGACCGAACCCTATCGGTCGTGTGATTTTCGGGTCAGCAGAGGAGGAAGAAAGGTTCCGAATCCGATGTTGCCTAAATGTTGATAGAGAACCGCGAGGGAGGGCATTCGAGAACACCACCCCAGTTAGCTTAGTCGCGGATTGACGAGGACGGGGTTATGGCAATCACGGCTCATTTGGTCGGAACATCGTATCAGAATGAGTAAAGCGGTCAGGCCCATCTACACGATCACCAGGGTGAGTTCGAAGCAGATCAAGCATCGCTTACCGTCAACAGCCGAAATGATCGTGATTCCGTTGAACCAATCTCACCTTTTGCGTTCAGTCCTCAATGATTTACCTGGAATACGGTGGTTGTATGCGACAGTGCACCTTGTCATTTGGGCTTGGAGGCGGTGCTTGATGAGCCTGTATATTCCGGTGCCATATTGCTGCTACTTGAGCTTTATTCTCCAGCACTAAACCCAGTTGCAGGTGTCTGGAGTGTGATCAAGCATTGGGTGAAGCAAAGCATGCATCATCAGTCCGGAGTCGTACTTGAGGGGGATCCATCTGGCTAACTGTCTGCGAGATAATTGCGGATGTAGTGTAGTGTTGAGACCGTCAAGATGTCAGTAAACTCAGATATGTGTGGAAATATGATCCACCATATATCTATGATTTACTCGAAAGTGCTCAATTATGAGGACATTTAAATAAAACGATCACTTTTTCATTGGAAAATTCTCCCTTTTCGCCACGATAATTTGGGTTAGTTGTGTGGAAAGCGGAGGTGCGGCGAGTCAGACATCTGTGCATGTTATGCGTCACCTAAAGACTGTCAGTTTTCAGGAGTCTGAAATGAAAGTAGTGAATCACTTGTAGTGTATTTATATCGGTAGAGAATTTAGGCGTACAGAGTTATAAAATGATTATTGTTTCAATCCAAACTGGGACGCTTTGTCAAACGTAAATGAAATCAATGAGATATTGAGATTAAGATCTTTCCGGGCCTGTGTGATGTTTACTCGTCTATAAGTCCACCAGTTGTCACAGGTTTGCGAGTGAGACTCATGTTTGTCTGTCTCGACGAGTAGGTTTAATCAACTGACCGAGTGTAGAGCTTCAAGAGTTAATCGTCCCCCCTATCTCTCAGCTCGCACCACCACCTTTTAGTTATCAATCGCGATCTCGTGACCTGTCCGTGTGCAGTCGTTCCAGAATTGTGACCTCGAGTCATCACATCCGATGACAGGCTGATGTTCATGTAGGTGAGGGTGTAGTTGTTTGCCTGTCTCAACTATGTCGTGTTGATTGCTGCCCACGCCCCTGATCATTCGTACTGTTTGACTCGATCCTTTTCGTAAAATAATACCAGCGATGCATAAGAACAAAATCAAAATGCGAAGACATTTCTTTTCGATATATCGCTTCAGACATTTACGTATATAGTTTGATTAGTCAATAGAATAATACAAGGCCTAGGCTGAAGTAATTTTAAATCTATGCTGTCCTATGGAGACAGCTTTTGTTCACACTGACAAAATATACTCTCTGCGGCTAAAAGCTCTTCGAAGACGAAAAGAATTAGCGTTCAAGATACACCAAACAGCCACTTTTCCTATCATACTTTATTGTTCGCCCGCTATTTTCCCTGGTCTACTTAGAAAGGACTTCATTACTCTACGTCGCGGTTTTGTGATTATCAGCCGTTTCTCTTATTCCTTTAAACATTCTGATCACAAAATTGTGTAATTTGCATATCACTTCATGTGAGAACTTCGCTCAAAAGAAATTCACTGACCTCAGTCATCCACTCAATCCCGATTTANTCTCGCTGCTTGCCCTCCCGCACAGACATTTACCGCAACTCAACGGTTCCCTATCTGGCTCGTATTCTCACTGACACGGTGAGGATCCCTAAGGAACTAATTTTAAACTTAGAGATGAACACCTATTTAAGTTTAATCATTGTTACATGTTATTTTCATTTCATTTTTTATCCCATTGTAACGGTGGACACATTTTTGATTGAAATGTGGGCGAAGTCGCCTGCACAAGTCATCTATAACGCAATAATACAAAACAAAGAGACAGTAAATGAGGAGTGAGGGTTCTCACTGTGGTTAAGTAATATTTGGTAGCTGGATTCTGTGAACCATTCATCATTACCGAGCACTTCTAGCTATATACGGGCAGTGACCATAAGTTAGAACTTGATTGGTCTCTTCTCTGGTGGCCTGCATGCTTATCCAAGACATCGACATAGGTCCAAAAATCTTCTCTACTTTGAACCTGCTTCATAAAACGTTGCGCCGGAAAATGTCTTCCCCCTTTTCAGATCCGTGAGCCTAGGTAATATTACGTCAGGTGCATGGGTTGTTTCATCCTTTGTTTACTAATGTGTGATATTCAACAACTGATACTGTACCTCCATCGTTTCCCCTGGGTGGACTGCAAGAACCCTAAAATACCGCGTTGTGGTTCAGCTATGATAACCGAAAGGTGTTCTGATCCCCTTATACTCACTAACTTATCGAACATTTTCACAATTTCTGATTGGTGGTGGCTTCGGTAATCCCTATTCTAAGAACGACCAGGGTGGTGTTCCCATGGTGAAACTGAATCGAGAAATGCGACAATGGCAATAAGATTGTTCGAAAACACTTTGTACTTACTGCTTGCGAATGTCATACGTTAACCTAAATTCACCCGGTTAACTTTGTGTGAAGGTGTTTAAGTAATACTATATGATTTCAGCGATAAAGATGATCGAATTCAGAGCCCATAATCCAAATGGTGCATTTTGGAAACATTCGAATTTTTAAACTTGTATTTTCCTATAAAATCCCGTAGCTCTTATGAGAATTATGGCATCTTTCGACATCCCTCGTTACGTTATTTCTATTGCAGTTAATTTGATAGAGATATCTCATTCCGTTCCGAAAATATGGCCAAAATGTTCGTTTTCATTGTCCAGTGCTTGAAGGTGCTCCTGTGGTGGTGTCACAGAGATGGATTATGATCTGAAGGTGTCGAACAAACTGTATGTGAATCTGATCGATACTGATATGGATATCGATCGAGCATGATCTATTGGTGTCCCAATGCAACCGCTTGAGGTGTATTTCATGAATTCCATTGCAGCATCGTGCGATAGCGGTAGGCAATGGCTCAAGCGTTGATCGCACATGATTCATTGGTATCAGCGGAGGGGGACAAAAATAGAGGCATACGCGTACTAGCAATATGAACAACCGATATGTATGCCATGAGAATTGAGGGGTGTGTGACCGAAGCCCGTCCCACAATCGTCCCTCGCATTTCAACGGGAGGTAGAGAAGTCGGTGCGGCATGGTGGTCATCCAGACATCGCTGGGAGGCTTGTCATCACCGGCGAGGTCAATGTGACAGCTTGAAATAATCCGAGGCCATCTTGATATTGGGACAACTTGACTTGCACAAGGCATGTTTGAGTAACGAAAAGATAGTAGAATTTTCTGTTGCTATTCGTATTATCCAAGCATTTCTTTGGATTCGTCTACCTTGTTCGATTTTCCATTTATGTCATGAACCTCCTTTGGAGATTTTATTCGTCGCGATCTCAAAGACGTCTAACTTAGAAAATAATATTATGATAAAGTAACCTAGGATTTGATATTTGAGATGATATTTAGGCTCCCTACAGGCATCCATCGATACATATCTAACTACGCGATTGACTTTAGATGAGGAGGACCAATAATCAAGTTATTGAAAATTATATTCTCTACTTAGAGAATAGAATATTTTAGATGTCGCCTGGTTGCGTACATGTACTCAAACATTCCTTCGAAAATGAGAAAAGACCTCGAAATATTTTCATCTGGGTAGATGGATGTATACACTCTCATATCCCGCACTCCCACTTGATATTTAATCTTCAATGCTTTATGAAAACATCAAGCTATTGGGTCAATTTCAATCAACCCTTAGAGTGTACAGGTATATTTGCAACTAGATGCATAGGCATCGTTACAGATAAGGTTGTAACATATAAAAATCAGTCAAGTTCGAGTGTGGATTAGCAGTATATCTGTATTTTCGTTTACTTTAAGCATGTTTGACTTGGTAATGCATTCTGAGTTTTACCTATGTAAATGCGTTCACACCAATGACTTGTATTCATTGTCAGTTTTTGTTCAGTCTCCTAACCACAAGTTTGAATAGTTGAGGCCTCAACGGAGGCCAGATCTAGACGCAGCGTTTTCAATTTTCTGTACGGCGTCAGACATTGTCCACCGCACTGTTTCTACCTGCTCAGTTCAATGTATTTGTAATACGAACATCGTTGATTGTGCTCTTCCAATTTCGATAGAGCCAGACAGTTCCCTTCACTGAACAGT